GACGTTCTAGAAGGGAGCAGTGGTGATGGCTGCAAAACACTGTAAAAGTGCTGAATGCCACCGCCCTGTCACCTAAAGCTGGGGCCTTTGGGACATAATTAAGGTTAGAAGAAGTCATGGGGGGTCTTTATGAGGGGATTCTGCCTTTATAAGAAGAGACACACCACAAAGTTTGCCCTTCTTTCTCAGCCATGTGAGGACACAGGCAGAAGGAAGCTATCTAAAAGCTAAGCACCCTGAGCTTAGAGCGCCAGCCTCCAGAGTGTAAGAAAATAAATCTCTGTTGTTTAAGACACCCAGTCTGTGGCATTGTGTTATGGCAGCCTGACCTAAGACAGTGTACTTTCTCAATGCAGTGGGGGTGGGAGGAAGGGCATCTGCAAAGAGAAAGAATATCCCTGAGACTCTGGTAGGTATATTTCGCCAAAATATGGAATGGCTTCCGTGAAGGAGAAGAGGGAATGCCATTAGTCAGAAGAGATAGCAAGTGTAAACAGACAGTAATGAGAAGAGACAGAAAGACAAATGGACAGACAGACAGACACACACACATGGAACAGAGGTCATGAAGACTGAAGGTGGGCAACAGAAGTGTGGTTAGAGGACTGGGAATGTAGCTAAAATGGTAGAGCACTTGTCTAGCATGCATAAGATTCTGGATTTAATCCCCAACACTTAAAAACAAAACAAGTAAGAGTGGAACTCCACTATGGAACTCAGAGAAGGAGAGAAAAGAAAAGAGAATGATAGAGCATCAACAATATGGTAATGTATCTGTGAAGGTGGAGGATACAAGAATGTGCGTGTATTGAAAGGTGGTGAAAAATGGGGGGTGGCAGGTAAATCGGTAAGGAAGAGCAATGGAAGGGTTGTATGGACCAAAGTGAACTATACCACAGTGGGGACACACTGAGAAACTCCTGTGAACATCGACTTAGGAATTAATAATGAAAGACAGTTCTGTAAAAGAGGCACAGTGGGGGAGGGGGAGGGGGAATGGATGAGATGAAGGTGAGGGAATAGGGTTGATGGACTTAATATACTTGTATGAAATAGAACAATGAAATCTCTTGCAATGGCTTTAAGTGGGGCAAGGAGGGGGCCAAGGGGAGAGAGGGTTGGGGTGATCTAACCAATGTACAATATAAGCCTATTTGGAACTGTCACAATGAATCCCCCTGTATAATGAATATACCCTAATGAAACAAAACAGAAGTGAATTGAGGGAGGGTCGACTCCAGGTCTTTCTCCTTTCGCTCTGCTCTCCATGAAGTATGGGTCACCAGTGTCACTGGCACCCAGCTCATGTTATAATGTGTCTTCTGGTCACAAACCTCTGTGTTTCCCCTTCCTCCTGCATCTTCTTGCCTCTTGTCCATGAGGAAAGAGATTCTACTAGCACCAAATCAAGGTCACATTACAAACGACTTCCTGGACGCCTGCAGCATGCATAATTCAACCTTGGCCTACCTAAGTTCAAAATATAGGGCAAGCTTTTCACCTAGATGGTGCCAAAAGCAAAGAAGCTCCTGCCCCTCCCAAAGCCAAAGCCAAAGCAAAGGCATGCTGAAAGGTGTCCACAGCCACAAAAAAAAAAAAAAAGATCTGCACATCTCCCACTTTCATGCAGCCCAAATACTCTTGGAAGAGAGTTCAGGGGGACACACTTGACCACTATGCCATCATCACAGAGTCAGCCATGAAGAAGTCAGAAGACAACAACACACTTGTGTTCACTGTGGATGTCAAGACCAACGAGTACCAGATCAAACAGGCTGTGAAGAAGCTTGGTGACACCAACTGGGCTGACTGAGGTTAATATCCTGATCAGTCTCATGGAGAGAAGGCATCTGTTCCACTGCCTCCTGATCGTGATGCTTTGGATGTTGCTGACAAAACCAGAATCATCTCAAGGAATCCGGCTGGGTAATTCTAAATATACATGTCTTTTCAATACAAAAGCCATGGGGCCAAGAAGCAACCCGGTGTCTTATAATTGCAGAACAAAGGAGCAGATGCTTCTATAAGCAATCATTCCCTGGGAGGGAGGCAGGCAGGCAGAGAGGAAAAGAAAAGAAATCCTACTTACAGACCCAAGTATAAACTTCGAGATCACTGAGGGGGGAGCAGGAGGGGTTGGATGGCCTAGTGTGAACGCCTATCTGCATTATCACAGACAACTTTTCACATCAGCACACTCAAACTCACCTCACAATTCAGAGAGCCCTCAAGGAGGAACACCAATAACACAGCAAGTGCTGGTGTATAGATAGCTTCCCTCCATTTCTCGCTTTCACTGTCAAACCTCTTTACTAAGAACATCTTTGACTAGCAACATGGTACTGTTGAAAGAGTATGGGATTTGCTGTCACCAGGTCTTGTGCTCATAACATGATTACATCATCTGTCCTGCTCACCTCAGTGAGCTGTCGTAAAATCTTAACAAAGTAATAGACTGAAAAGGTTCAGAAAACCTGTTAGGTATTATTCAAATGTAAGGTGTATAAGCATACTCTTAAGATGTCTGATACAAGAGCCAGGCGTACTGGCACATGCCTGTAATCCTAGCACTCAGGCAGCTGAGGCAGGAAAATGGAGAGTTCCAAGCCAGCCTGAGTTACATAGCAAGACCCTGTCTCAAAAAAATTTTTTAAATGTCTCTAAAAGTATCCAAATTATGAAGTGAGTAAAACATCTCCACTTAAGAGATAAGAAGAAGCCAGGGCCAGTGGTGCACACCCCTGCACTCAGGAGGCTAAGGTAGGAGGATCTCCAGTTCCAGGTCAGCTTGGGCTACATTTGAGACCCTGCCTCAAAAGAACAAAAACAAACAAGGATGTCTGATACAGACAGATAAGCCAATGTTTTTCTGGGACGAGAGGAATTTACAAGATAATGACAGGGAACAAAGTTTTCCTGCTGGTACACTGACTGCATTAATAGGAATGTTTTCTGTATTGGGACAGCTACACTGAACTTCCACTCATGTCCATCTCCTAGAAACCCAAACCACTATTTGTGGTAAAATGCTATCATGCCACCCCATCAGCTCTGCCACTGGCTGCAGCTCTAGTGATGGCACACCTGGTCTCAAGGAAGTTAGGGATTATACTCCAGCAAATCCACCACCAGAAATTGCCACTGCCACTTAAAATGGGGCCCTAAAGGAACCCAACCATACCCATATGGTTCCTAACTCTGGCTTGTTGTCACAATCACCTAGGGGTGTTTTGAAACACATTTTGGGAGACCTACCCAAACTCTGAATCTCAGAGGTGAGACCAAAGAATTTATCATTTTTAAAGCTGTACAATAACTGACGGTCAGTCAGATTTGGATGATATCTTGTTTTCCACTTGCAAGGACAGTGGGGCAGGGAGGAAGAGCTAGAAGGGAAGACTAGTACCCAGCCCCCAAATGCCAATTCGGACTCTCCTTTTCAACCTGCTGCCTCTCACAAAATCCTACACTGTCAACCCTGAGTCCAGACCTTTTCCTCTATGAAATGAAACACTACAGTCTTACTTGAAAATCCAGAAATGGTCCTGTGATGATTTTTCTCAACCAAAGGAACAGCGTTTAGTTTGGGTCCAGTTCCCTAGTGATGGGTGCACTGAGCCCTCATACTGCACAGGCTACACCACTTCAGTGCTCTGTCACGTCCAGGCCTTGGACCTTACGAGTCACTCACCCCATCCTCTTTAGGAGTAAGCATGTTTCCATATCAAAGTAGACATTGCAGCAATCCCAATTACACAAATGGTAGCTGCCTAAAGCCACTGGCATTGGTCCTTTTTGACTTTAGAAGAAGCGGATTTCTTCCAAATTTAGATTTTCTTGTATGCCTCTGAAACAAATGCCAATTCCTAAATGCACACAAGTTCACCACAGGATGAGTGAGCACAACACCAGCTTGGGTCTACACTTCAGGGCTCAGATAATTAGAACCCCATGCTACCCACGTTCAGGACTTCACTAGCTTAACAGAGAGGTGATGTCCTTACCACCAAGGTCATGGGAGACAGCACAGCACCTTTTGAAAGTGTGACTCGCAGTCTGTCTTCACAAAAGGATTTTGTGATGTACTACAGAAAACTTTGTTTTGTCATGTTTTTCTTTTTATCTGTCAAAGGTAGATTATTATAAAGACCATGGGAAGCCGGGCACCATGGCTCATGTCTATAATCCCAGCTACTCAGGAGGAAGAGATCAAGAGGATCATGATTTGAAGCCAGTACAGGCAAACAGTTTGAGAGACCCTATCTCAAACAAACCTATCACAAAAATAGGGCTGGTGGAGTGGCTCAAGATGAAGGCCCTGAGTTCAAGCCCCAGTACTGCAAAAAAAAAAAAAAAAAGAAAAAAGAAAAGAAAAGACTGTAAGAATAGAGTGAAGTATAGAGAGCTATCTCTTAGGGTTGTTGCCACATCCAAATCTGTATGGCCAGTTGACTGAGTTACAGTTTCACAGGACTCTTAGAAATCAAATGAAATTTGCTGGATGTGGTGGTACATGCCTGTAATCTCAGAATTTGCAAGGTGGAGGCAGAACAGAAGGACCTCGAGTTCTAGGTCAGCCTGGGGTAGAGACCCTGTCTTTAAAAAAAAATGAAATAAAAAAGAATCAATGCCAAGGACCAGTAAACAGTGACATTCCAATTCACATAGCTATGAAGGGGCCTGGTTGGGACTTGCCACCAGGACCTGACACCCTGTTACTGTCGGTCCTCTCAGACAGGTCATGAGAAAATCCAGTGCATTATTTCATTAGACAAGAAAGCCTTGATATCCACCCTCTTTTGCCTCGGCTGTTGGGCTCCAGCACTGCTGCTTTTCTATTTCAAATTCTTCATTTGTTAAACTGTGGATGGAGAAGGCAGTTTTTTTTTGATGGGACTGGGGTTTGAACTCAGGGCTCCACACTTGCAAAGCAGACGCTCTAGCTTGAGCCATGCCTCCTCTCCACTTTGCTCTGGTTATTTTGGAGATTGGGGGGAGGGTCTCTTGAACTATTGTCTAGGCTGGCACTGAACCAGGTTCCTCTCAATTTCAGCCTCCCAAGTAGCCAAGATTGTAAGTGTAAGCCACCAAGGACTGGTTGAGAAGGTAATTTTAAAACTTGCACCTTTATGTTACATTTCAACATTTATCAACTGCAGATGAGTAAGATACTTCATTACAGATGACACATGGCTCAGCAACAGTGTATCCTGTCCCTATCTTGGGAGTATAATCAATGGGGAGCATTATTCTGAGCAGGGATGATAAATAAATTTGATTATTGCAGTCTGGTTCCTGGTGGGAACTAATCCACATCACAAAAACCAACAGTTTCACCCTCTCAAACCAAATGGGCAAGAACAGCACGACAACCAAATGTTGACACCAATGTAAAGTGTGAGCTCTGAGGATTTCTACTCAAGAGCCTTCAGGGAGATCAAGACCAGGTCTGGGACAGAGAAGAAGTTTGACATGATGCCAAACGTATGACTCCTGTATCTGGCCAAAACCCACTGTAGACATGAGCTCCAAGAAGGCAAATTGACTTGTTCAGACATTTCAACTTTGAGCAATTTAAACAGCAACAGACAGCTGTGCAGGATAAGAGCCTGAGGAGCTTCCACCCTATTCCTACCTCCCAGTGACCAGCAAGTTTGGGTGGAATCTCCAGTCCCAGCTTCTCCAGCTCTCGCTCCCTGTACTTCTCATACTGTCGATACCCTATGTACCCGCCACCTGACACCAACAGAATGGGCAGGGGACGCAGCAGGAACAAGGCTCGGGCAGGGGCAGTGTGAAGTTTTCTGGCATCTGTAACAAAAAAAGCAGGAAATTTTTTGAGCTTGGGAGACAAGAATAAGAAAGAGTCAAATAAACACAGCATCCACAGGAGAGCATCAAAACAAAAATAATCATAGACAGGCATGGTGGCTCAGGCCTGTAATTTCAGTTACTCAAAAGGCAGAGGTAGGAGAGGCTTGAAGTTCGAGGCCAGTCCAGACAAAAGTTAGCCAAATTATCTCAAAAATAAGCTGAGCACAGTAGATACACCTATAATCCAAGCACTTGGGAGCCTCAGGCAAGAGAATCTTGAGTTCATGGCCAGCTTAGACTACACAGCAAGACCTTGTCTCCAAAACAGAAAATAGGTAAATAAAATGTAGTATATGATATAATGGAATACTATTTAGAAATAAAGGTGTGGCTCAAGTGGCAGAGCACCTACTTTGTAAGCAGGTGCCTGCTTTGCAAGTGTGAGGCCCTGAGTTCAAACCACAGGCCCACAAAAGAAAAAAAAGCAAAAACACAACATGTACAAATAAAAAGGAATGAAAGTCTTGACACATGCTACAGTATGAACCTTAAAAACATTATGTGAAAGAGGCCAGCCATAAAAGGCTGCAATATTATTGATTCTTTTTATATGCAGTGTGCAGAACAGGCAAATCTGCAGAGGCAGAGGAGATTAATGGTTGTCAGGGTCTGGAGATAGGAAGGCGTGAGGCATGGGAACTTAATGTGTAAAGTGTTGTTATGGGGATGTGGGAAGTGGAGATGTTTGCGTAACTGTGAAGATACTGAGAGCTGCTGAATTGTACACTTAAGAGGGTGAATTTCATAGTTTGTGAACTATATCTCAATAGAGCTTTGTATAAATCTCACATATACGCAATGAATATTATTCAGTCTTAAAACAAGAAGGAAAATCTGCTATTTGTGACAAGACAGACAAATCTAGAGAACATTATGGTAAGTGACTTAAGTGAGACATAGAAAATACTACATGATCTCACTCGTGTAGGTGAGTGAGATTCCATACATGCAATCTAGAAAGGAAGCTAGGAAGCTGGGGAGCAGGGGGTGTAGCTCGGTGGGAAAATGTTTGCCTAGCAGGCACAAGGCTCTGGGTTTGGTCCCTAACATCACAAACAATAAAATAACTAAAAGATAAAAAAGCAGCTGGGCACCAGTGACTGACGCCTGTAATCCCAGCTACTCAAGAGGCAGGGATCAGAAGGATTGTGGTTTGAAGCCAGCCCTGGGAGACCCTGTCTCAAAAAAAAAAATCCATCACAAAAAAAAAAGGACTGGATGGAGTGGGTCAAGGTGTAGGCCCTTAGGTCAAACCTCAGCACTGAAAAAAAAGGGCAGAAGGCAGTTGAAGGGAGGAGTACAAAGATATGCTTCAAAGGACAGGAAGTTGCAGTTAGAAAGTTACAACTGCAGTCTAGTTGCAGTTAACTAGATCAAACTCAAGAGCTCCAGCTGCACAACATGAGAACTATAGTTAATAATACTGGACTGCACAAGGGTTATTTGCCAAAACAGAGTAGATTTTAGGTACTCTTACCACCAAAAAAGAAGGAAGGAAGGAAGAAAGGAATATATGAGATGATGGGTATATTAATTTGCTTAACTGTAAAAATCACTGGGTATATCAACATAAGAATTTCAAAACAGAGTGTTGTACACCTTAAATATTCACGATTGAAAAAATCCTCAAGAGGTGACTCATCAACAGTCTATGTAAAACTGCATATCTTTTTTGTTTGCTTTGGGTGGGACTGGGGTTTGAACTCAGGGCTTTGCACTTGCAAAGCGGGTGCTCTGCTGCTTAAGCCACACCTTCAGTCCAGCCTATGTAACATCAAAAAGCACACTCTTTGATCCTTTAACTTCCATATGGCAGGAGTCTTGCTCCCAGATCCCCTTTCAGGTTGGTGGTTTCTTTTTCAAATGAGCAGCATGTACGGATGCCTTAATCGTTTCAGTTGTCTAATCAAGCCTACTGAACTTTTACTAACTTAACGACCAGATGCTGTACCTCTGACCAAGAAAGTCTGACTGGGATGGGGATGTGGCTCAGGGAATGCTTTCCCAGCATGCAGGAGGCTTTGGGTTCAGTCCCCAGCATCACAAAAAAAGACTTGCCAGAAAGCAAGAAGTGCCTTTTTATCTCCTGAACTGTGTGATGAGAGAACTGCTGTACCCTCCACACTGAACCAGCCAGACTGACAGGTCACTCTACTGAATGCTTTCTACTACGTGGTCTTTTCCTCATTTATAGGTCTTTCTGCTGTCCCTTCAGAGTAGGTTGTAAGTAGAGATGGCCCTACTCCAGACCCTTAATCCTTGGCATTTAGCCTTTCATAAAAGCACTGTGCCTGTTTTTCTACAGATCCAAGACAACAGCTTAATTTCTGAGGCTCTCCCTCTGCTCGTAACATTACTCCTACACGCCCCAGCACGCAACTCCTAATTAAATCAGCAACATCCAGATGCGCTCCTATTAACTAACAAACTTTCTGTTGTTCTCATTAACCATTGCATTTTATTCTCAAAAAAATCTTAATAGGCAGGTAAAAACAGCTTTGTGTATGATAAAATCAAAAGGATATTTAGATAATAAAGACAATATGAAATTTTATAGGGGTTCAAATACCTTCCTACCAGACCAGAGTTTATAGTCCACAGTGTTTATGGGGTGTGGAGTGCCACACCAAGCTTCCTATTGTCAGGAGTGAGACCTGAAGAGCAAGCTGGCCTAAATTTCCAAATATAAAATACACTTTTGACTCAGCACTTCTGCCTCTAGAAATTTATCCTGAAGTTGCACAAAGGGAGGTTACTTTAGGACTGTCTGTGGTTGAATAGACTAAAAACAATTTAAAAGTCCAACAACGAAAAAAAAAAAAAAAAGTCCAACAACGAGTGATACAAAAGGGTACTATGTAGCCAAAAAAAAAATCACAAAGTAATAGTAGCCAAGGTTTCAGCCATGACTATGTGTCAGGCACTCTACATACTTCATACAGACTATTTTATTTAATTCTAACAACCACCCTATGTTGGCCAGCAGCTGGTGGCTCATGCCTTATAATCCTAGCTACTCGGGAGGCTGAGATTGGGAGGATTGTGGCTGGAGGCCAGCCTAAGCAAATAGTTCTTGAGAACCCTTCTTCAAAATAAGCAGACCAAAACCAGATGGGAAGTGTGTCTCAAGTGGTAGAGCGCCTGCTTTGTAAGCTCTAAGCCCTGAGTTCAAACTCTGGTCTCAACAAAAACAAAAAAAATTCTGTTTGTCCCAATTAGCTGTTGAGCAAACAGACAGAGAGAGCCAGTACCACCTTCCATTGCTCCTTACCTGTGTTAAAGGCTCGAAGAGGCAATTTCTGTAAGGACTGCAGGAAATGGCTCATGGTAGGGTCTTCACAGCGACAGAGGCTACAATCAAGTAAAAATGAACCATTACATATTTTTCTTAAAATTAAAAAAAATGAGTGGATCAACTGGCAACATTTGAATGTAGTTTGTAGATGCGATAACAGTACTGTATCAATGTTAACTTCTTGGTTTGACAATTGCACTATGGTTATGTAAGACAATATCCTAGGAAAAAGGCTGAAATATTTAAAGATCATCAAATCTGCAAGGTGCTCTCAAGAGTCTCAAAAAAAATAAATAAACACACATACATATAGGGAAAGAGGGAGAAAGCAGTAAGACAATATGGCTGATGACTGGGAAATCTGAGTTACAGGTATTTGGAATTTCTATGTACTGTTTTTTAATGCTTTGTAGGGCTGACATTCTTTTGTAACACAGTAACCTTGGTATCTGTGGGTATGCATTTCCAAGGAGAGGGCTGTGGAGGAGAAACTATGAATACTCAGGATGCCAAGTTCAGCACAATATCGCCCAACGAGCTGCCTTTCAACAAGCTTAAAATTGTCTTTGCCACTTAAGCACATTACTTTTACTGCTTTTTTGGGCACCATTTGCTTGTTGACAGGCATAATGTATTTCTGCAAAATTAAGGACAGAGAAAAGCTGGTGATGTAGCTCAGTGGTAGAATACAAACCCATCGGTTTAATCCCCACTATGGTGGGGGGAGAGGAGGAGTTAAAGAAAACACTCAGCAGATCAGGTCACACATCGATTTAAACACAAATGGTGATGTCTGAGAGCTTCTCTGCATCAGCTGCGCTGAGTAATAGCTGCATGGGAATTTTAACATTTATTTATTCTTGCAGTACTGGGGCTTAAACTCAGGGCCTACACCTTGAGCCACTCCACCACCCCTGTTTTTGTGAAGGGTTTTTCAAGATAGGATCTCGAAAACTATTTGCCCGGGCTGGCTTTGAAGCTCAATCCAATTAACTTCTGCCTCCTGAGTAGCTAGGATTACAAGTGTGGGCCAGCAATTGCATCCAGCAATTACTTATTTTTGTAATTTCTTTTGACCTTTTAAATTTATTTTATGTGTGTGTGTACATATATGTATACACACACACACTATATGTATATATATAGTGTGTGTGTGTGATGATGGTACTGGAATTTGAACTCAGGGCTTAACACTGGCTAGGCTCTATTACTTGAGCCATACCTCTAAATTTGGGCTTTTAAAATAAATTTAAAAACAGGCTAAATAAATAAAAATCCTTCACCCAGGGCTTGGCACCTATTTTTTTCTTATTATTAAAAGTAATAAAGTTGCTATTCAGCTGGCACACACTGGGATGGCTGTAACTTTCTTTGTTGGCAGCACTGGGGTTTGAACTCAGGGCACTTGTAGGCCCCAAAGTGACCACACAGAGAGGAGTGATCTGGCCAAGAGATTTTTTATTGCTGGGTGGGAGAGGGAGAGAGCCGAGGGGGGGGGGGCAAGGGCTTAAACACCCCTCAGTGAGACTCGGCATGATCTGATTGGTTAGGATCTTATGGTTCATGCTGATTGGAGGTTGGGGCAGAAGGGGAACTCAAGCTAGACTTAAGGCAGGACCGTGCCCCTGAGAAACAGAAACTTAAGGGTGCAGTAAGAACCGAAACTTATCGGCACCATTATTGCCAACAGCACTCAACTGCTCGAGCCATGTCCCCAACCCCATAGTTTTCTATGACCACTGTCCACCCCGACTGGTTGTCTCCACAGTGTCATGGCTGTAAAATGTTTTTACATCACTTCAGTGGTAACATTTTACCTTTAGTCCTTACGTCTGTCCTGCTTTTAAAAGCTGTGAGTCCTAAAACTGCACAGGCAGACCTCTTGAAGGTTTTATCTCATATTCTACTGTGTATTAGAACATTTAGTAGTGCTCCTCTCTTCTACTAAATCGTAAAGTTCCTTGAACATAAGGCCTATTTCAAATACATCTTTTAATTCTTCATTTCCTTGCCCTTCCTCCCCTGTCCTATGGTCCTTGGAACTGTTGTTTACAATGGTAGAGATGACATAAATATTTCTGAATAGAAGCCTTGCATAATCAACTGCTCCTAGTTACTACTGTCCAGACTTGCCTGACCTGAAGAATTACCTGGTTACTTGCAAAAACTACAGTTGCCAAGGCCCCACCCTGCACCTACTGAACCTGAAACTGGCCGTAACATGAGGGCATAACTGGAAATCTTCCCTTTTTTTTTGGAGGGTGGGACTGGAGATTGAACTCAGGACTTCATGCTTGCAAAGCAGGCACTCTGTCTCTTGAGCCACACCTCCAGTCCATTTTGCTTTGATTATTTGGAGATGGGGTTCTTCTCTTGAACTATTTGCACGGGCTGGCCTCAAGCCATGATCCTTCCAATCTCAGTCTCCCAACTACTAGGATAACAGACGTGAGTCACTGGTGTCCAGCTGGAAATCTTCATTTGTAATAAACATTTCAGCCTTTTCTTTTATCAAATGAGTTTGGGAAACATGGTATCTATCATCCAAGATGTTGCTTTCCTATTCTATCATATATCTCCCACTCATAGTAAAAAAATTCTCTGCAGCGAGGTGCTGGGTGGCTCATGCTTGTAATCCTAGCTACTCAGGAGTCAGAGATAAGGAAGATCAAGGTTCAAAGCCAGCCTGGGCAAACAGCTCATGAGAGCCTATCAAAAAAAAAAAAGCCTGCTAAAAAGGGCTGACGGAATGGCTCAAGTGGTACAACATCTTCCTAACAAGTGTGAGGTCTTGAGTCCAAACTCCAGTACTGAAAAAAACACTTCTCTGCAAGATGAGACCTCCATGTCTCACAAATACTGCTTCACGTGAAACACATGGAAATGTTATCCTTTTGATTTTCTGTGTGTCAATATAATTTCTATCTTGACATTTAATACCTTTGGAAATTAAAGATTGTTCTCATTGTAGCAAATCTTCATCCCTCCCACTCACTGCACCTAAAGTCAGTCTTTTCTTCCTACACGAGTACTAAAGTATGGCTCTTTTTTCCTTTCTCTTTTTCAATGATGGTAAGTGAAGCACATCCTCCTTCCCATGATTTAAAAATAAATTAGTAGTGTCATTTTTTAGATTTCCCAATTCATGGCAACCTTTATTCATTTAGAGATAGGGTCTTGCTATGTAACCCAGGCTGGCCTTGAACTCACTAGGTAGCCCACAATAGTCTCCACCTCTCAATTATCCTGCCTCTTCCTTCTGAATGCTGGGATTATAGACATAAGCCACTGCTCAAGTCAGCTCAATTCAGGACATGCTTTAAATGAATTTGTGGCTGGCTCATAAAAGCACACCTGGTTTAAAAATAAATAAACACAGCTCTGAAAACATGAACTTCCTCTCCAAATCCTAAGTTACCACATCACCTCTCAACAGTTAGGATGGGAGACAGGAGCTTTCACAGCAAGCCTGGGGGATGGTTCCTGTTCCCTCAGTCCAAATTCAAAATCCATTTACTCGCAAACTACAATGACAAGTCACCTCCTGTCACAGCGCCACCTGTGGTCCACACTGATTAACTGAAGCCTGCCCAAAATACAAAAGTATGGTACGTCTCTCAAAACTGAGCTCACTGAAATGACACCTTGTAACCGACTCTAAATCACAGCTACCAACATTTTAATCTATTTCCTGAGACTTCAGAGGCTCCCAGGGAGAGTGCAATAAGTGCTCTCTCCGTTGGCACTTCTGAGGGAAAGGTCCTTGCGAGCGCGAGAAACAGGTACCTGGATCGAGTCCTGACTCTGCTACTATCTGGCTGGGTGAACTTAAGCAAACCCCTCCCTCTCAGGACATCAATCTCGCCAAGTCGAAGAGGGACGTTTAGAAGATCTTTGATTTCTTCTATCTCTAAAAACCCAGGAGCTATGGATCACCAGGACAATCAAGACCCTAACCCATACTAGACTATTTTGAGATCACCAAATCTAACCCTCTCGCTTCAAAGACCAAGAACCCGAAGAGAAAGTCGATTCCCAGCCCAGTGCTCTGCCCACATCACACCGCCCTTGCCAGAAACGAAAACACCTGGGGTGGGGGGTGGGGAAGGCGCTTGGCTCCGCCTCGACTCTTAGGGACCGGCAGGCACCCTATTCCATCCGTGTTGTCCCTTCTGTACCACCACCTAGCTAGAAAGGACAAAGCGAGAGCGTTTAGGCCACACCCTAACTAAATCTAGACAGCCCTACACGGCTGCAAGTAACACCTGCTCCCGAACTCAAGGTGAAGGTGGCTCCGCCTCCTCTCGAGCCCTCCTCAGGACAAGCTCGTGATAGAGAAGTGACACCTTTGTCCTGAAGCCCGTGTGGTCCAGGCCGGACCCGGCTCAAAAGCAACCTCGCCGCGTTATTGTACCTGCTTCGCCACGGGGCGACTCCGCGCAGTAACCGCAGACACGGTTGACCCACGGACGCCGCCATCTTGCCTTCTCCCACCGGGCTACGCCCCCTTTCACACGCCGGACGCATGTGTGACGTCACGAGCCTCGAGCTCACCGGACCAATAAGGAACGCGAATGGCTGGGGGTGGGAGGGAGCAGAAACAAACCCCGCCCTGTGGCTACGCGCCCCCCC